TGTTTCTGCTCCTGTGGTTTTTATCATATTGGTATTTTCATGCATAATTGGCACCCCAAGCCATAGATGTATGCACATACCCAATTCTTCTCAACATCTTCCCAAATTAAACAAGTTCTCCACTTCCCACTCAGCAGATGTTTTCACAACAGAAGACAGAAACCAAAAAGATCTAGAAGTAAGGTGCCAAGCCAAGGGAACTGGTAGCTGCAGTATTTGCTTTTGGCAGTAAGCAGCACAAACATAGTTTGTCTAATAGCACAGAGCTATACAAGGTACAGAAGACTCTAAGAAGTCCCAAAGCTTTTCCTGGTGCTGTCAGAGAAGCTGGATGGTCTGTAGAGCTCTTTCTGTAAACACTACATGACCTCCCTGTCTCGGTGCTCAAGTGACCCAACAACCATTTTACCTCCTCAGTACTTGGAGGCGCTCACATTACCCATTATTTTCTTACACAGTGGAAGAAAACATTGCCCTTTGTTTGTTTTCTTACCCATGGTATGTTTCCTTAAACAGTGCGACTTGATCTTTGAAATACTGGCAGAGCCCATGCATCCCACAGTAGATCCCATTCTATATTGTCCTTAGAGGTCACAGGGACAACATTGGTACTCCAATTCCAGAAAGCGTACTCACTTACCAAGTTCTTTAGCCTTTCTCCTGCACCTTCATCCTGGATTTCCCAGCAGCATTTCTTAGTCCTCCCTCCCAAGAGCTCTGTCTTCACAGAAGGTGGGTCATCTCCCTGAACCATCTGTCCCTGACCTATGCAGCAAGATCCTCTGGTTTTTGCATTCCACAGCCCTGAACCTGTGAAGTCAAGAGTACTGGTTCAAGATGACAAGTCCTCAGCCGCTTCTGGCACTACATCCCTCTGCTGTGAGGGCTCTCATGACCACCTCTTGAGTTTTCCACACAAACTAAACCAGATCCAAATGGGAAGTCACCATGTATGTCACAACTTCACATGCAACAGCTTTCTCGCAGTAGACTGGGGAGATTGTTCTAAAAATTTGGGATGCACCCAAGTATTTCGGCCATTGATGAGCACACCAGTGCTTCAGATATAAAACTCTGTTTACTAGTATGAAATCCCTGATCTCCAGTATTTGAACTGCAAAAATGATACTGTTAGCTGGTAGAGCCTTCCCCTTTTTTGGGAGAGCCACTAACCAGCAACACTAAATAGCTTTTTAACCCCTGAAAAACCTTGGCCTTTAACTACTGCATTGATATATTCATATACACACTGTTACATTTCCCAGGCTGTTGGCACTGCAGTACTTCTCTCACTCAGCAGCTCGGCCAGTGTAGTTTGCAGTTCACTGTGGTGCTGTGGTGGCCTTGCTAGCTAACATTCAAAGGGCTGGTTACTCACTAAACACTAATGAGTCCCACACATGGCAGCAATGCTTAGCATTAGCATACTGGCTAAGGAGCAATGACCCTTTTAAATAACCAAGTGGTTTTCTTTGCTCCCAGGTCTTGAAAAGGGAGCTCTGGCAGTTAAAGAGACAAATAAAGAGGAATATATCATCTGTATCCATAACTATCTTTACATCTTGTTCATTGAGTTGTCAAGCTGGAATTTCATTTTCCCCTGAAAGCTTTTCTCTAGGTCAAACCAAACCTTCTTCTTTCGATTTCTTACAGCCATAGATGTCTGATTTTGGAGGGACCTTGTAAGGTTATCTAAGCTGAGTGCCATGAAAGCTTATGTCTGGAGAGGTATCTGCAGCTATTGCATGCATTTATTTTTAATCATACTTGAATCACCAGCAAATCTCCAGGTACTCTATGGATACAAAAAGTGTCAGCAGTTCCTAGTGCCCTTTATCTGCTTTTTGATGGTTATTCACCTTTCACACTGACTGAGCTTTGAATGAAAAAACACGGCAGAGTATACACAGAAGTGTAGTCTCCACGCACTAGAAACACCTATAATTTGGACAGTTATTTCTTCTCAGTAAGATAGCTTTTATATTTGCTATTACTGATAAAAAAGCAAGTAACTGTCTCCCTCAAATCACCAGTTAAAAAAAAAAATAATAATCCATTTGATTCTTCAAATTGCGATTCTTCAAATGCTATTTTTTCAGAGTCATGATTTCTCTGAAGTCCTAGGCATTAGGATTCTGTTATTAGTTTAAAGAAAATAGAAAGACTTTTTCAATATAGGACTCTTAAAATATAAGAAACACAAAAGAAACAGAGCATGAGAAAAAGAAAAGAGAAATATAAGAAGAGGTAACTAATAAGGCAAGGCTCACAGGAAGACGGTGACATTTACCTATCCTGTTGGGACACAGATATTTGTGGTTTCCATCTTTTCACAGGATCTTCCCAGGAGGGTGCTACAGAAAGTAAGAAAGCAGCAGTGACAACTTGTTTCCATCCTGAAGTTTTTATCTTCTGTTGAAGCAAGTAACCCTTAGCAGTCTTAGTAGATTAGCAGAAAAGGTGCTGCACGGAGTCCATTATCTGCTGTCAGCAGCGTTTTGCGTTGTTAATCCACTGCTCATATAGCTGCAAGCAAACTGTTTCCTCATGTGGATAAGGAGCAGAAAGAAGAAAATAGAAGTCCCAAAAGACATAAAGGATTAGAACACTATTAATATTTATCCTTCATAAAAGGAGTCAAGAGTCATCAAATATGAAGTTGCAGACACATAATTATTCTTAAGAAAAAGCATAGATTACCAGAAGCAGGAAGAGCATAAGATGCAAATGATCACTACATAACTCCCCCACATAGACATTCCAAGACTTCCCACCAGACAGATGGTGTTGCTAGAGACAGGATATTAAGCCAGATGGACTTTTGATCTAATACATAGTCCAATGTTGTCATCATTTGTGGTGAAATTTGACAATGTGCCCAGCACAAAGCAAAGCATGGAAGTCCTCAATAAAGCATTTGGGACAGAAAATTGCATGGAGGTGCAGTTAGCTCTTTCTTTTGTACTAACCTTTCTCATAGAGGCTTAAATATTTAGCTACATTTAGACACTGGTGACAGTCTCAGTGAGGGATACCTTCCAGTGAAGTCAGGCATCAGCAGTCTTTGTCTGCAGATCAGATGTTGCACTGCAATTGGTATCACTAAGTGGGCCACAAATATCACAACAAACATCTAGGTTGACTTGGAAGATGGCAGTATGGTTCAGTGTTGAGACTTGGTGGAGTTTTTTGTACCTTCACTGAAACTGACAAGAAATAAAACCCTAAAAAATAGTTCTGACTGTGGTGATTAGCTTCTTGGGACATAGAGTGCGTGGAGCCCACTCCAAGCTCATTCTTTAAGCGGGTAATCTTCAATGTCTCAAGACTAGACTTAGATTCAGGTTGACAGCACTGTGCTGGAAGTCTCCATGATGTATTGCCACAGCATCACTCTCTGTTATTTATGTCTTCTGGCACTTGAATGCTGCTTCCACACTTCCAGACAAGAACATTTTCCTCTGCACCCACAGTCCTTCTGGCACAGCATGCACTATGGCCAGCTCCAGATGGAGGCACACCCTGCACTGCTTGTCCTGTGATCAACCAGACCAGAACACCTCAAAAAACATGCCAAGACTCCCTCCATGCCCATGTCTTGTATTTACCCACAGGTCTCATTCCTGGGTTGCAGCACAGGGACTAGATGAGCAGAGTACAGCATGTAAAACACCTGCCCCCATTCCAGATAAAAATTACCAGACATATGGTATATTCATAGCTTCCAGGACATCAAAAATATCATCCAAAAGACCTTTTTCTGCTCCTTTTCTGACTGAAGTAGATGACTGTACCTTCCTCTGTTATTCTTAAAAAAGCAAGGAATATTCTTTTATCCATGGGGTCATTGAAGAGAAGAGTGGGAAAGGTCTTTTGTATAGCTTTGTGTTGCTCTACACTGTTTTACATAGATGGTAATTCAGAGAGCCAGATGGACCAGCAGAATGCCTCTTTGCGAAGCATAGCACAGCCATGGTGAGATCATCTTTCCAAGCTGCTGTGAAGACCATGAGCTTCCTGGGAAGCAAACAGAGCATGACTACTTCAGTCTTAGCTTTATTTGGCTTCCTGTGCTCTGAAAGTTTGACCTTTTAGAAGCTGGTACATTGCTGAGGCTTTCCACTTAGTATAGTCTTGGCAACACTCTGCTATCTCAAGGAAGTGCTCAGCATGGTATAGGGCACTACCTGACATCTCCACTGCAGTTTGGTAATTTCCCCATGAGTCATTAAATGCTCCAGAGACAAACAGGTGCTTTAGAAGCAGAGGTCTGTGAAACTTGTGGACATCCACACTACTTGGGGCTTTAATACAGAAGGTAGAGCCAGTTGTGAAAAGGAAAGGACACAGAACTGCAAAAATTATACAGCCTGGTAATCAAGCTTACAGCTTGGACTTTGCTGAAGGGCACTCTTCCTCCTTCTCACTGCCAGGGGAGAATTTTTGGTGTCCACAACACTTCAGTCCTTAGTTTCTTTGTGGAGGATGGCAGCAAAAACAGCAGTGGTCTGTGGTACGGTGTCTAGGCTTCTAGAAATGAAATGTTGGTGCTACCCTTCTGCAGAAGGCTAAATGTCATCCTTAATGAGTCAAAAAACCCCACATTTTGCCAAAACAGATCCAGAGTGTGGGTCCTTTGCTGGCTACCTGGGGCCCCAGAAAGTGGATCCTAACAAGCCTAGAGGTTCTCACTGCCTGAAGTGTTGACTAGTTTAAAAACAAACAATACAACTAAGCACCTAGATTTGGAGATTCAGGGTATCTCAAGTGCAATGTTTTTCATATTAGAAGAAAAACCTGAGGGTACACAAACAGGCTAATCAGTCACCTGGTAAGTCTTTTCAGACCTTTTCAGTGATGTGGAAAGCTGACTGCAGGAAAACATCAGAGGCAGGTCTAGGAATGCTGAGAATTTTTGACAAACTGTTCACACATAAGACCAAGGTACCACATGTGAAGGAGGCAAATGACTCTTCTAATCTGTAATTTCATCTCCTCAGCTCCACCACCCATCCCAAGGGTTTCGGTTTGGAACTGTACGAGAAAGCAGCGCAGAAGACTACGTGAGGCAAAGCTTCCCGGAGATGCACGAGTACATGCGACGGTACAATGTCCCTGCAACCCCGGATGGAGTAGCATATCTAAAGTGAGCCTCTGCATGCAGCAGCAGATCTGGTCCCTCCACAAGAATGCATGGCAGTGAGATGGTGATGGGTTTCCTCACTTTCAGTGTCACTTATCTCAGAAAACAGTCATTGAAGGGTGTGTGGCAGAGAAGAAAGCACATCATCACTTGGGGAGAGTGCTACTTGGAAAGCAAGTTAGTGTAGCACCACCTGGAGTGTTTCCAAGGGAAGCAGTGCTAGGGTGCCATCAAGCATGACCAATGTGTAAATCCTGGCAGATTTCTATGCTTGGGAGCCCTTCATCAGGCAGTGAGAAACATTCAGAAAAAAAAGACATCACAGTCCAAACAAAAGCTGCAAATGAGGTTCCTCAGCATCTACAGGATGCTGGGAGGAGAGAAGGTTCTCAGAGAGAAACCTTACAGCATTTATCATTAAAACAAATAAAAGAAGCATTAGACTGGTGAAAAAATAATAAACACCTTATATTCTTGCATTAGGGAATCATAGCATCACTGTGTTTCAGAGACATTTGTACCTAACAATCTGGGGTCACAGAACTGATTCACTCTGCCAGGAAACAGGAAAGGTGATAATATACCTGAAATAATTGATTCATTTTCATAGAATCATAGAATGGTTAGGGTTGGAAGGGACCTTAAAGATTTTACACATAGAAGTTGTGTAACAGATGGCCTGAGAATATTTCACCAGAAGTTGTTTCCTGTTTACATTTTTCCCAGACCCACCCTAATGATAATTAAGATTCATGACAGTTCCTTTGGGTTAATCTGGAATCAATCCATTTGAAATCAACGAAGTAATGTAACTTCACATCAGGAGAACACTCAGACCTTCAAAGTGACAAGAGGGGAGGGTGCAGTCCCTGGGTCAGATGAGAACAGGCACTGCAACTGTTCTTTTATATCACCATTTTATGCAAGTATGCTATTCATAAATGATTATGTTAGTAAAATTCTGTCCTCTGTTTTTAAGAAGACTGAACATAGAGAAAAGCTGATTTGGGGGAAGGAAATTAATTTACCTCATATTCAAAGAGAAAAGAAGAGAAACATAGAAGAAATCTTTGTATGAGTTACCCTCCTGCATTTTTGCTCTAATGAGAAACCAAGACAGCACTACTATTTTGGCAATTTTTTTTCCCAGTAAAGCTGTGGGCTACCTTTCGATGGAGTCTAATAACATTTTGTAGAATTTTCCATCTTTCAGATCAGATGGGAACAAAAGAAGTCCTAACCCCACTGTCCTGTTTTAGATGCACACAGTTTGTATTTCATGCACAGTTTCTTTCTTCAAAATATAAATCAGTTTTGGATTTAAAATAGCAGTCCCTGCTCTCTGTTTTCATCCTGTAATCTTCCAGAGAAGTGCATAGATAAATGCTCAGTGAGCATCACTGAGTCTTAGATTGTGGAGTGATTCGGTTTCTGACTTTGATGTTGAATACAGGCATGATCCAGAGAAACTCGATGCTTTCATCATGGATAAAGCACTCTTAGATTATGAAGTATCAATAGATGCCGACTGCAAGCTTCTAACTGTGGGAAAACCCTTTGCCATTGAAGGTAATGATCAGTTTTATAATGTACTGCTCTATTTCTCATGTGTTGCATTTGCTCGATTGTGACTTGGTATTCTCAGTGGAAGTATGGAGGTAAAACTGTGGACCCCTTGAAGATTATGGTAAAATTCTCAGTGATTAAGCAGAATCAAGGTTTCACACTTTTTTTGTGGTTTTTGAACTTTGAGGTCACTTGCACTGTCTGTTGCCATGCTCTATGTAGGAATTGCTCAAAGTGCTCAGACAGTCCATCCCCAAACAAGTAGGAGGCACATTTCACAGCTCACAATTAAATAAAGTATCTCCTGAAATGAGGCTTGCTTTTTGTACACTCACTTTCATTACACATATTCAAAACTCAATGAACTATGTTGAAAATACTTTTCAATAGTTTCACTTTCCTCTGAAACAGATAAATGAATACCTCCTCACTGGAGGTATTTAAGAGTCGTCTAGACATAGTGCTTAGGGATATGGTTTAGTCATGGTTTAGGGGACTTGTCAGTGTGAGGTTAACAATTGGACTTGATGATCTTATAGGTCTTTTCCAATGGAGCCAATTCTGTGATTCTGTGAAATACTGTTCCTGTTTTAAAGGTCAGCTTGACATTCCCACTGAATCTGTAACTCACTGAAGCTAAAGAAGGGTTTGTACCCTGTTTCCTAGCCTCCTGCATCCATGGTGTATTAGCAAGGACAGATTGGAAGGCAGCCTGGAAGCAAGGCTTGTCTGAAGCTGCCTCCAGCATGGGTGAGCACATTAGCAGCTATTAGACTTCAGGAATCACACTCAGAGGACGTGATTGAAGCTCCCTTCTTTCCTCCCCTCCAAGGGCAATCACTCTGGCCACCTCCATCGCACATTAAAACAACCTCCTTCAGAAATGTTCAAACCTGATTGAGGAAGGCAATATGCTAAATGAAGGCCAGGGGAAGCTGAGCATTTTAATAATTTCAGCTACAAGTCGCCAGCACTAGGCATTTTGTAGAATGCTTCTTTTTGCTATACCTCATCAGCATCTCCCATTTGAATTCACACCAGAGACCTGAAAGCAATCCTTTTTCTTCTTTTCTTTTTGTTATCAGGGAGTGTAGATGCACAGAGAGCTGTTCAGGCTGCAGCAGGGTTTGTGCACGTGCAGCTGCGTGTTTCACCATGTGCGCGCAACCTGATAAATCTTCCATTTCAGAAAAGTCAGCTTTACTGAAGTGAACCATCAGCTTTCACAACCTTCAATCAAGTAAAGCAAATGTCAATACAGAAAAAAAAAATAAAGCCCAAACTATGTGTTTTTACATAACTGGACTTCATATCACCTAATTACAAAACACTTAAATATGCTGAAAATGTGGTATTCATGAACCCTATCTATTTCTTCTGTGAAACCATTCCTTCGATGTTAGCAAATATATCCAGGTGTAAATATAGGCACAATGTACAAAAATCAGCAGCAAGGGAGACTATTGCTTTGTAGGTAGGCCTATTACAACATCACGTTACATCGTTGTAAAGCAAGCCATTGTGATGGCAAATTTACCACTTGTAAATTTATAGGGTTTTTTTCTCTTATTTCTTGTGTTGGTTTTTGGTTTTGGTTTTGTTTTTTAAATGAGACAGTCTAAAATCCTGAATTCTGAACTGAAAAACAAAAATCCACAGTGGACTAGAAGAGAATCTCTGCAGGCAATTGGCAGGACATCTCTGCATGCAACTGCATGTCTTCCAGGCATGAATTGTATTTGTTTGTCTAAAGCCAAAACCCAGATTCTGCAAACTGAAGGACCATATTTAGAGTTACTGAATCCATTTTCACTTACACTGAGTCCTTTACCAGCACTTTAAAGTGGTAAAAGATGACACAGTGGCTAAAAACTGTATTACTTATCTGAAGGTCCATGTCAGCAGCCAGAGCAGAACTGCACGAATGGAAAGCTTAGCCCCCGGACTTTAAATTGTTGTATGACCATACAGACTGCTCCCTTATATATTTACATGCACACAGTTTCTCAGCAGAAAATTCACAGGAAGAATAGAAAATGTCACATGTGACACCACAGTCACAGCCACTGCTTTAACAATGCAAAGTGATCACAGAATGGTTTACTTGAGATTAAGGCCGTTTTGCGTTGCTAAAACAAAGTAAAAAAGAAGAACTCATGGCAAGAGCATGCAAAAGACTGTGTTTCTAGAGATAAGACAGATTTATTTATCTATCTATACCTCCATCTGAAGTTTTTGAACCTCCAATTTTACATAGTACTTTTGTGACTTCAATAATTTTGAATTTGCATATCCCGTTTGTATTAGTCTGCTTTATTTTGCACAGCAAATAGTCTCATCTCAGCATTCTTAGTCCACGATAAGCCAGGTTTGAACTGGCTTGCTGAAACAGAACGCCAACTTGATCTGCCACACTGGTAGTTGACAGCTGAAATGAAGATACTTTACCAAAAAGCAAACAAGTAAGACAGACATGATTGTACTGGTTTTCTTTCTAGGATATGGTATTGGTCTTCCCCCCAACTCTCCACTCACCTCAAACATCTCTGAACTGATAAGCCAGTACAAGTCCCACGGTTTCATGGATGTTCTGCATGACAAATGGTACAAGGTTGTTCCATGTGGGAAAAGAAGCTTTGCTGTCACAGAGGTAAGCGGTGAACTTGGTCACATAAATGAGGATTTGCACAGGTTGCCAATTATTTCCCCTCATTCACAATGTGCAGTAGATGGACACACATGACAGAGATGGGCTGCAGCTGAAGGGAAGCATTAGGCTTCAGAAACAAGAGATGCTAAGCCCAGCAGCATTCAGATCTGAACACAAGAACAACGTCAGCAAAACTCTGCTGCTAAGTTAGGCGTGCAGTGCATGCATCAGAGAGCACTTCTGGAGACAAACGGGGCATGTAACGTAGCGTTAAAAAAAGTGATCTGGCACACTGCACAACAAATCTATCTGATTCCACTCAATTATGTGTATCACCATCTACAGAATCTGTCAGTGATTCTGGACCATCTCACACGGGAGCAATAGCTAAGATAGCTAACACAGCAACAAGAGCAAAAGAAGCAGAGTGAGTGGGAACTCAGTACATCCCAAATTTCTAATATAACCCTGACCACTTCCTAACATGGCAGCTACTTGTACCAAAAATAAGACTTCAGCCTAAAAATGGTCCACGAAGATACCATGCTAAAAACAGAATTGAAGCAGGTCTCATGTCTAAGTAGAACTACTGGAAATTGAAGTAAATCTCCATGGTTTTACATCCTGGTATCAAATCAGAGGAGCTATGCCAGCCCATGGCAGCTGAAGATGTAGGACATTATTTATGAGAAAAAAGACTCCTTTTACTGGAATAGCCATTTTTCCTCAAGTTCCCTAGACTGTCAAGTACAAAAAGATAAAGTACTGAGGAATCAAAAGATCCAGCATGCCTGAAGCTTAGAGCATGCACATTTAGCCCAAGGTGTTCTAAAAGACGTATGTTACGTGGTCTCACTGGTACAAAATGTGTAGCTAGAAGTATGCTACCTCCTCCTCATAGTGTTCAGCCAAATATCAAACCAACCCTACACGTTCCCTGAGGAAGTGGTAGCATGTCCCTTCTCCCCTAAAAGAGAAGCCCAGTTTCCTAGGGTTCTGACTCCTGCCCTTCAGTGGTCACCTGAACATCTGGTCTGCAAACCTCTCACTGCTGATTAAATCACTAGAAAACTTGCATTTTTCAAAGATCAGACAAAAAAAACTTTGCCTTAATACATAGATTGTTGGGGTATTTCTGCATCTCTTACTATGTTTTTAACTTTTCCATTAAGATTGTGTCAATGTGAAATCAATTCTATTTTAACATCACACATTCATAGAAGAAAATTCAATTTATTTTTATCCAACTTGTTCAATTCAATTTTTTTCTCTTTTTTTGTGTGATTAATTCAGCACAAGAAAGTACATTTAAACAAAAGTGCGTATTCACTGCTATTTCTGATCTGGCTTATCTGAAGATTATGTTATCATCTAACAAGACAGGTATCTGGGGAATTTTCATTTTAATGTAGCTGACATATCTGTTCCTGACAAGCACTTCATTCAATGACCTCTTGTTACTCTACATTTTAACACAATCTTTTGAATTAAACCTCAGGAAAACTGGCAGACAGTAATGGTATTAATTACCACAGCTGTCTTAAAAACTGAAAACTCTTGTAGCAGAGACAAAGTTAGCCTCTTAGTAATTCCCCAGTGATAAGACATAAGGAGCTTCCTCTGATCATGAGAATCTTACTCCAGTAGCTGCATGCAGGGCTGTATTCTCTGTATTCCTAGAGCAATAGCTAAGACACAGAATCAATTCTAAACATCTTCCAGTTTAAAAAAAAATTGTTTTATTTAGTACTGCTTTTCTCCCAGAGTATATAGTTACTCCTTTAAGTCAGTGGTCCCTAGAGTGGGGTGCATACAGCCTCTGGGGACATGTGAGACGATCCACTGGGTTGCAGGAAGAAAATATTAGAACTTCAGTAATACAGAGATACATATCTATATAAATTATAAATAAATATACATATATGGGGGTGCATCCTCAAAAAGTTACTGATAGAGGTGCACAATTAAAAAAGTTTGGAGACCACTGCTCTAAGCCTTCAGATCTCAAGACTGTCTCTAGAAACAGGAACTTTTTTTTCTGCAATAGCAAATACAGTAATAGAGAAAATAAGCCTTGGCTGGGCAAACTGCAGAAGGTATATTAGAAAACCAATTTGATTTGTCTTTTTGTGAAGAAAAGCAAACATGAGCAAAGATAGAATAAACCCTGTATTCAAACTGGAGAGAAAAATCTGATAGGCAGCATGTCATTTTTACAGTTACTCTTTTGAAAGCCCTTTGCAATTTAAAAATATGAGGAAATCCTATACCATTCTCCTGCACAGCTATTGCTAGTATATTAGCTCTGAGGCAAACCCAGTTCTTTCGCTTCCCTAGATTTTCATTAACTCCTGCATGTTCAGTCATGCAATATTGAGAGTCACTGTTAGTGACACTGAAGTTTAAGTCAGACTTAAACTTCCCTGTTTTCATGGCATGAAAAAACAATGACAAAGATTCCTCAAGGCCTGCCAACAAAGGGAGAGGAGGTGGGAAAAAAGCTGCTCCAATCTGAAAAGAAAATTCCTATTTTGTCACATGAATAATCCCACAGACTTCCTTTTTTCTCAGTGGTGAATAGGTTTTAAGCATGAGGTTTTACAGGAGGTTTTAAGCATGGTGTCACAGCTGGAAGACATCTTGTGCTTTAAAGTAATTCAGTCTTTTGAGTGTAGCCTCCATGTGATGTGCAGAAAGGAAGGCAGGTCTCACTGCTCTGCAGCTGGTTATCTGACTGTAGTCCATGTTTGATCTTCAATTGTGCTAACCCAACATGCATAACTGGGTTTTTCTCCAGAGGCCAAGGTCCACTGGTTCAGGTGACTGAACTGAAGGACTCTAAAAAGTCACTGAAAGACTTTTTGTCTTTGAATAAATCCTCATGTACTCAAAGACCTTATGCAATCAGAAAGAGTGAGCAGAAACAAAAGACCAATTGTAAATCTGTGCCATTGTCAGGTAAACTCTGATAAATCCAGACCTTCCCTTTCCTGAATTTCTACTTCTGCCGCCTCTCTGATGAGCATCCCCTCCTCTTCATCCACTTCTCTTAGCCAAGAACTTGCAGATTTTAGAACTTGCAATTTCATAGCTGGGACAAATTTACTAAGCAAAACAGAGCCAAACAGCAGATGTTTTCTAAAGCATAGCTGCCCTATCATTTAGTCAAGAAGCGTGGGAATTATTCTTGGTCTTATCATTCTGTCAGTTTGCATCCTTTACTCCTGTACAGCCCAGAAATCTCTGTTATTTAACTCCCTGCAGTCAGACACATTCAACAGATTCACTGAAGTGCGGACAATATTCAATACAGAAGCAGTTAATTCCTTTTCAAAAGTCTCAGCTTCTAAGTGGGTAATCATTCACATGGATTATAATCCAAACTAAGACCCAGAAACTGCCTTTTGATAGCTAGAGAAGGGCTTTGTATTTTTGTAAGTCTTTTTGATAAATTTGGTCTCTGTGACACACTGCACCTGTTGACCAAAAGTAATGACCCAAAAATGAGAATATAAGTAGGTGAAATATTCATCAGTACAGTCTTTAAATGGGTGAAATATCTGTCTTCCTTTTTTGTCATTACCTCTTTAGGCTATACCTGATTCTTATCCACATGCCACTCCTGGTCACTGAGGTTAATTTTTCTTGGTTTGTTTTGAGATTTATCTTCTTACTAATAATTTTTTTCTAATCTTACACTGGAAAATTTTATTTCCTTTGGCAGAACTCACTGCTAGCTCTTTCTGTCTCTCTCTACCTGGCAGTACTTTGCTCAATCTAAATTGCGTTTGAAAACAAAGTTGTCTTGGAAAGGCGTAATTCAGACTGGGGCTGGAAAATTTTCAATGACTCCTTGAGCTGAGAAACCACTTGCCCAAGACATCTTACTCTGGCCAGCACCCACTGAATCGTTCATGGGCAATGCAGTTAACTCAAACTTGGAATGAATTGCTGCAGTGAATCGCATATTTTCCTCTGCACCACAAGTAACTGTTGGTAGCAGTGGCTGTTCAAACCAATTGCTAGTCGCTAGCAGTATTGCCTGAGTACTCTTGATTTAAAATTGCCATACTCCGGTCTCAAAGGAATTTCTTTGTTGTAAATTTGCGAAGTCCCTACTTCGGGCAGAGCATGGTGCGGGAAGGAAGAGAGGTTGGCGGAGGTATATTTGCACATATTACATCTGGACATAATCAGTGTCATTGTTTTTAATTTGCATACAATACAGTTGGCCTTTCCTCTACACTACAGTTATTCTAATTAATGCCACTTCATCAGGAGCTGGGGTCTTAGGACTTTCCCCTCCAGCACATCAGCTCAGGACAGACTGAAAATTCTTTCTTTCTGTGCCATTTTTGGTAACCAAAATACAGTCAATAGGCAGCTTTGCAACTTTCTGCTCAGGGTAGCGAAACAGCTGCAGCCCTAAGCCACTGTGACAGCAGGCAGGGTGGGTAGCCTGAACAGGCATGCTTCCTGTCAATTAGCAGTGGGTCTGACTGTTCAGACCAGACAGTGATGATGAGCGCAGGGTATAGAGGAGATGAGCTGGCACACTGTGGTTTCTCAAGAGGGTATGACAAAGAAGGGCTCCTCCTGGTCTATGGAGGAGTCAGGCTTTGAGAAAAGCTAACTATGCTTACAGACTGTTCCACAGCTTTCAAGCTACATTTTTAAAAATGTTATTGTTGAAACTGTTTCTTCTGTTTCACTCAAGAAGCTTGTATATTCTCCATTTGCAATTGTCACAGGACAACTGGAGCTCTAGAACTCGGAGACTGATTTGCTCACAGACTGGTAGTTCAGTCAGATAACAACCAATACACAGAATAAAAAAATACTTATTGTTACACAGAAGTATCCCAGCTATTAACACCAACAACTTATTGATGCTTCACACAACTTGGCGTTTACAATAACATAAATGCCAGCCCACAAACGGTTCATAGCCCAAACTGACCCAGTTCCTGCAGACCCACCACTTTGCACAAGTGGTGACA